CAAACATATGCACAATTAAGCGGCGCACCCATCCTTTTGCGACAGCTCCTGAGCAGTTGGTAGAAACATGTTGCACACGGATACAGTGCTATTGACTGTCCTCCCACGCACGCTTCCGCGGTGGCGGTGTCTGTGTTGAGTCCTGCGGCGAATGTCGGAACCGCTTGACTGTGATGCTGTACACAACTTCAACATCGGCCTGTGACGGGCTCCATGCGGGCGTAGCGCCCCAAGTTGAATCGCCCCAAGTTGAATCGCCCCAAGTTGAGTCGCCCCAAGTTGAGTCGCCCGAAGAGGGCGCTTCAGGCATGTGGTTGTGCTTGAAGGCGTCGGCCTTATTGCGTGCGCGTGGCATGGCCTTGACTTCAGGTTCATTGTTGGGGTTCGGGTGGGGCATCTCCTTGGCCTCGGGCTTGCCCGCAACCTTGTGGACACCTTGGTAGCGCCACGCGTTGTCCATGTGGTCCGCTTTGGTCTCGGTCTCGGTCTCTTTGTTGTTGTGATTGTAGTTGAAGGTCGCATTGTCCTTGTCCCGGTGCATCCAGGTCTTGCCTACATCTTTGCCCTTGCCCGTGCTCTTGCCCTTGCTGTTGCCCTCGTCCATGGCACTGATGCCCCCAGCGGCCTTGCTGTAGTGAGCGCCCCGGTCGTAGTCTGTCTTGCCCTTTGCCGTGTCGCCGGCGTCCTGTGTGTTGGGCTCCACGTTGCCCTCACCCTTGCCCACGCGCTTGCCCTTGCTGATGCCCTTGCTCGTGTTGCCACCGACGGAGTCGTGGTGGTCGTCCTTCCCCAAGCTCTTGCCCTTGCCAACGCCCTTGCTGACACCCTTGTTGATGCCCTTGCGATCCGCAGTCTCCACGTTCTCGGAGTCCTGGTTGTGGTCCGCGCCCATGTTCTTGCCCTTGCTGATGGTCTTGCCGACGCCCTTGCCATTGATGGAGTCCTGGTTGCCCTTGCTTGTGCCATCGATGAAGTGCTGGTTGTGGTCCGCGCCCGCAGTCTTGCCCTTACTGATGCCCTTACCCTCGTCGTTGGTGGAGTCCTGGTTGTGGTCTGCGCCCACAGTCTTGCCCTTGTTGACGCCCTTGCCCTTGCCGTCCGTGGAGTCCACAGTCTTGCCGTTGCGCTTTCCCTTACCATCCATGTGCACGCCCACGGTCTTGCCCTTGCTGACGCCCTTGCCCTTGCCGTCGATGGAGTCCACAGTCTTGCCGATGCCCTTTCCGTCCATGGAGTCCTGGTTGTCCGCGCCCACGGTCTTGCCCTTGCTGACGCCCTTGCCCTTGCCATCGGTGGAGTCCACAGTCTTGCCGAAGCCCTTACCATCCATGGAGTCCTGGTTGTGCACGCCCACGGTCTTGCCCTTGCTGATGCCCTTGCCCTTGCCCTCGAAGGAGTCTTGGTCCACGTTCTTGCCCTTGATGCCCTTGCTGGCGCCCTTGCCGTCCTGGCCATCGGTGAAGTCCTGGTTGTGGCCCTTGCTTGCGCTCTTGCCCTTCCTGGTGCTCCCATCAAATGATGAGTCCTGGTCCGAGCCCATGTTCTTGCCCTTGTTGATGGTCTTGCCGACGCCCTTGCCATCGATGGAGCTGTGGTTGTGGTCCTCGCCCACACTCTTGCCCTTGCTGATGCCCTTGCCCTTTCCATCGATGGAGTCCTGGTTGTCGCCCAAAATCTTGCCCTTGCTGATGCCCTTGCCGATGGCCTGGTCGTGGTCCGCGCCGGTCTTGCCGTCGATGGAGTCCTGGTTGTGGCCCACGCCCGCGTTCTTGCCCTTGCCGCCCTTGCTGCTTGCGCCCTTGACGGAGTCCAGGTTGTGGTCCACGCCCATGCTGATTCCCTTGCCGTAGTTCTCATCGTCAGGCTTGCAGTTGTTCACCCCCCTGCCAGTGCCTTTGCCCTTGGTCGCCGCGTTGACCTTGCCCTTGCTGAAGAGCTTGCCTGCGGTTTTGCCCTTGGAGCCCCCACCCTTGTTGACGTCGCTAGTGTCCAGGTCGTGGTTGCCCTTGCCTACGCTGAGCGTGTTGTCTGCGAGGGTGCTGGCTGTGCTGTGTGCGTCCACACTGTCAGGATCAGAAGCGGTTTGGGAGCTAGAGTCGTCGCGAATCTCGAAGGGCTCGCTCCGCGGCTCCGCCTCAAGGGGGGCGTCCCACTCCTCCCACCGCCCATTGATCCACCCTGCGCAGCGGCGCATGGCGCGCTGCACCTAACAGCAGTGCAGATTTGGGCCTTGCAGCTCTAGAGCACGAGCAACTCCAAGCACTTCCACCTACCCCCCCCCCGGCACGGCACGGCACGAAAATATGTGGTAATAAGATACTGGTGGCACGCCGGGACACGTTCTGGCACGTTTTTTCCAGGGGTCCATTTCTCCTCTCGAACCTCCTGACATTGAATGACTTGGCAAGGATGGCACGTTTTTTGAGGGGGGTTACACCTTGTTTTGGGGATTTTTGGGGAGGATCGATGTTGTGCGTCCCTGACCAAGTGGATTGTAGTTGAAACACAACCCTGATTGAAATGAAATGATTAAGGGGCTGGTTAGCGTTTACAGTTTGATCAGGCGTTCAAGCTGCCTCGCCCCAATAGTACTGACCCCTTATCTCACATCTCACACCAGTGTTGAATTGAGGGTTGATGGGAATATGTCTCGGGGGTTTCCGGGTGGAGTTGTTGAGAACAAGAGTTGATTCTTGCTGTGCTTGGTTCGAAAGTGAATATGTCGAGGGTTGCCAGGTGATGAGAACATGCTGGACTAAGGGGTTGACTATCTTGTTTGCGCTTCATGAGTCTGGTTCAAACAAGATCACCCTTCTAGCAAAAACCACTTGTCTCGCATGTCACATCGATCATGATAACACGATGGGCTAGGGGTTGATTCCTGACTCATGTCCTCATCAATTCCGGGAACCTTCAACATGTTCACACCAACGATCAGCTGCCCTTTTCCCCCAAAGTCTGTGCCAAGCCTGGGCCCACTCATCCGACCACGCCCTCCAGGCCGCTGTCGCTGTCATCATCATCGGTGTCCTCGAAGGCCATCCCGCCATCAGCAGGCACTGCTCGGGTGTCGTTCGCCACCCGCTCCTTCACGAGCCGGGCTACCTGGGACGGGCCGCCAAGTGTTGTTTTGGGGCTGGGGAACAACATAGTGGCTTGTTTTCAATGTCAAGGTTGGTTTGAGGGATACCTTGCAACTTTGTTTGGCTGATGGTTTCTCCCAAGGGTATCCCGAGGCTTGAAACATTCCCATACTTGACAAGGTTATCAAGGTGTCACTCAAGGAACCCACAACCTAAATTGGTTTGACATGAGGCACCATTGAGTTCCTTCGAAGGCTGCAAGAAAAGCTGGTGTTCAAAAGCCTCCAATCCCACCTCTTTCAGAAAGACTTCAACCAAACAAGTTTGAGCAGTAAAAGGGTGCTGAACCAAGACAGACAACCGCAGTGTTGTTCTACAGTTAGCATTAGGCCCACATCCAACGATTCTTTGTGGCAAGTAGCGGTGAGTCCAAGTTGACCCGGATAAGCTTGCGTTTGTTTCAAATGCAAAGATCCAGCCTTGGCGTCGCGCGTGCATGTGCATGTGTGTGTGTGTTGTGTCATTCAGGGATGCAATCAACTGAGATCAAAGCAATTCGGGACTTCCCCTTCGAATCCGTATACCGTCTCACAGTCTCGATCTTGAGAAACGACTTGATGCGTTGCAGCGCGTGCCTCTTCACTGGGCATAGGACACGATGCAGTTCTCCCAAGGGGCCGTGCCCCACAGCACCACCTCGCAGAAATGTTGGCGTGGCAAACTTTGAAACACAAGGCTCACCATGAAACACAAGGCTCACTGTACTCAAGCAAGCGACCGGTTTCAGGGTCAAGGACCCGTAGGCCCCCAGCATCACAACAACCCGCTTGGCCCCGTGCTTCAACAGCCGTTTCTGAGCGCGAGTGGCGGATTGCATGCAAAAGCCAAGTCTGTGTGCGCATGTGATGCCCTAACATCAATCTAGCAATGCCCAGGGTCCTGCAAGCAACGGTACTGCCAAAGAATACTGCTTTGAGGATTTTCGATGACATAAGACACCCCTTTTCGCCAGTTGTATTCGATCCTGAGCTTCCAAGCAAGACAAACTAGACTGTCAAACGTCAAAGGGGTTTTCACACAGATCTAGACCAAGGCGCAGGTAGGCCAGCCTCCGTGCCAACCGGTTTGCTTCTGTAACACTTCGATATTGTTCGCATCCTGCCATGGGTCGTTCGAACAGGGTTGCGTAGCAAGCCACTGCAATGCGTTTTGGTTCAGGGCGCCTTTCACGTTGCACCAACTACGTTTTGTCGATCCTCTTGACCTCAAATAGCACACACAACACGGACTTGGGGAACCGTATATGTTGCAGCCAAGGGGCAACCACACCCACGAGCTGCATGGCACTGCGTACCAGCAAACACCAGCAGGAACTACCCTCCGAACCTGAATTCGTGATTGAAGGCTTGCTTGACAATAGTAGGCAGAACATGTGTTCGTCCAAGAGGCTACACTTAGGGCCAAGAGAAAGCCGAAAGTGCAAAGGAGGTCCATCTTTCTCGTGTAGGAAGCCTAGGGCACACTGTTTGTCTACACAAGCCGGGCCTTTGACAACAGTGCTAAGCAAGGGGCATCTATGCACCGGCTTTCCAAGCCCCAAGCTTCAGCAGCACTGTGCAACATGTGCACCCCTCCAAGAAGCGACGTGTGTTGGCTCACTTTGCGAAACACACCCAGTTTCCAAGATGCAGGCCTGAGAAAATCTCGCAGAAGTGGATCGATTGCTCTGGAGGAACCTCGCCAAAGCCTGGGCGCGGCGCGGCGCACGGGCAGCTGATCGATGGCCGCTGCGGCTGCATGCTGTCAAGATGCTCGACAAGAGGCACGTCAGGACCACTGCAAGGTTTGACAACTTCATGTTGCTAGCGGTTGGCCCTATATAACTATGGCAAAGGTCCACTTTGAGCCACCTTCAAAACGAGCAAGATTGTCAAGCAACTGCCATATGCCAGTCTGGACCCCTGCATGCAGGCAATGCATTTCTAATGCTATCGGCAAGCGCCGGCTCCCCCACCAGCATGCAATTTGTAAACGCGACAAAACGGTAAGCTGCTGCAAACGCAATGGGTATGTGTTCCACGCCACGGTCACTCACTTGTTTTTTTGCGCAACTCCTTCAAGTGTCAAACATATTCCAAACACTTAGCCCATGCCTAATTGCAGTCAGCTTACTTAATGTACCTACGGCGCTTGGCCTCGGCTTCAGGCATAGTAGCGATCACTGCCTTGAACTCGTCGCTGCACCGCCACCTCAATACGATGTACTTGGGTGGCGCACCAACAAATAACATTGAGGGCATGCGCAGTAAGTGACCAGCTGCTTTTCAATCCATCCCTGAACAAGTCCAGGGTGTTGTTGCTTCAACCTGCGCGAAAGAGCAAGCGCAAACAGGAAAATGGATCAACAGCGCCTGAAAACAAACTCTTCTTTGGCTAGAGCGTAGTTGGATCGGGCGGTTTCTGTCTTTGCAGCTGCCTTGCTTTTGGGCTTGGCTGCTGCTTTCGGCGTTGAACCTGATTCTGGCTCGCCCTCCTCATGCTGGGGCGAATCCGTGGCCCTTCGTTTTGCTGATGATTTGGCTTTCGGCGACGCCTTTGGCTTAGCGCTGGCTTTACCTTTGGCTTTCGCTTTGGGTTTGGGAGCTTTTTTGGCTGTGGGCTTTGCGACCTTGGAAGGGTCGAGCTCAACAGTCCGTGTGCTGGCAGCCAACATGGATTGGGCGTGCGGGTTCAGTGGGGCATGTTTGCTCCGCAAGCACGTTGTCGCCAGGTCGTCGGGTAGGTGAGGCGTTGTTGACTTAGCCGCAGGAGTCTCAAAGTGGTATGGATCCTGGGTGTTCTAAAAACACAGAAAGCAATCTTGCAACGATTAGCTTCAACATGCTTCAACCCAAGAGGCTGGGTCGGCGCAAGAACGAGCTGGCAAGTCTTCCTGCAGGGTTTGTAGAGTGTGAGTGCGGCACTGTTGACGCACAAGGCTCCTTCTTAGGGTCTCCATTTTTGCTTTTGCCTTCAGCTTCAGTTTTCGGTTGCTCTTCAGGGTTCGGGTGCACCTAGGCACATGCAAGCGTGATCAACACATGTGAAACTCAGTAAGCTGGAAGCCGGTTCTTCTTTGCCAGCGTTGTCGTCCTCAGTTCGCGCACGTGATATCACGTTGAACAAGACCTATTCTATGTAGTCTCGTGCACACTTGGCCTACGCAGGAGAAGCTTGCGCCAAGCAGCGGTGGGGGAGTCAAGGCGCTCCTCGTCCGACAATCGTCTGTCCTAGCGGCGAGTTAATTCGAGTGTTTGGGGTGTGTTCCATTTGTCCTCATCATCTGGCTCAGTGGTGGAAGCGTACCTTAACAGATCTTGCAATGATTGAACAAAGAACCCCAGCGAACTGCATGTGTCAAAGCACGTGTTGGTATATTCTTGCAAAGGGGCGTGGACGCTGACCAGTTGAACCGGGACATGAAGTTTTCCTTTCCTTCTTTAGTGATATGAGTGAACTTTTTGTTCTGCGGAGTTGTGCCAGCAGTTTTCTCGGCCACATCAAAGCCTCCGGCTGCACCGCTGGCCTCGAGTTTGTCATCTGAACTCCCCGTTGGCCATGCGCTCTCTGTGCGGATGTGACTGGCATCTGGCCACGGAGTGTCCTCGGACCCTGGCCAGGTCTTCTCTGCATGGAGTTTGCTTGGCTCTGGCCAGGTGTCCCTTGCGTGGAGTTCACTTGGCTCTGGCCAGGTGGCCTCTCAATGGGGTTCGCTTGGCTCCTCTGCGTGGGGTTCGCTTGACTCTGGCCAGGTGTCCCCTGCATGAAGTTCACTTGGCTCTGGCCAGGTGTCCTCTCGGTGAGGTTCGTGGGGTTCGCTTGACTCTGGCCAGGTGTCCCCTGCGTGGAGTTCACTTGGCTCTGGCCAGGTGTCCTCTCGGTGGGGTTCGCTTGGCTTCTCTGCGTGGGGTTCGCTTGACTCTGGCCAGGTGTCCCCTGCATGGAGTTCACTTGGCTCTGGCCAGGTGTCCTCTGCGTGGGGTTCGCTTGGCTCCTCTGTGTGGGGTTCGCTTGGCTCTGGCAAGGTGTCCTCTACGTGGGCTGGCCATGTAGTCTCTGCAAGTTCTGTGGC